GAAGAATGAATAAAGAAACAATATTAACCACCATTAACTACATAAAAAAACAATAATAATTGGTAATTGAGGAAGCATATAAACAAGGTGGCACTAAAATGAAAGATGGGCAGTGATGGTAGTAAACATAAAATCATTTTAAAGCCCTTGTGTTCCTTGGGAAAAGAATTAAGATGTCTAATAACTCTAAGACAGTTTAGATTTTTTTTTTTAAGCCTTAAAATAGAAACATTACAGGAACAAAGACAGCTACTCATGATAAAAGGAAGAATACACACAGAAGACATAATATGTACCTACCGGTAGAAACATAGTTTTAAAACCTGTAAAACAAAACTTTACAGAGCTATAGGGAAAACTAACAAACTCAAGTCATGGTACAGATTTTTCAACACACTATCAGAACTGATAGAGCAAATAATCAAAAAGTTAGGAAGAACAGAAAAGATCTGAACAGTTTGGTTAAATAGTTTGAATTAATGGACCAAAACCATCCATTCAACAAATAAAACACAAATAGATGAGTTATAGAAATTTACCAAATACTAGGCCTGTCTTAACAGATAACGAAGACTTAATTTTGTACAAGCATGATCTCCTGACCAGTGAAATTAAGAAGCAGTTATCTGCCCTGGCCAGTCGCTAAGTGGTTAGAACATCAGCCCTCGGACCGAAAGGTTTTAGGTTTGATTCCCAGTAAAGGGCACTTTGGCTGCAGGTTCCCAGCCCTGGTAGGGGCATGTGCCAGAGGCAGCCAAACGATGTGTCTGTCTGTCTGTCTCTCTCTCTCTTCCTCTCCCTTCCCCACTTCCCCTTCTTTTCCACTCTCTCTAGAAATCAATGTAAAAAATACCCCCAGGTGAGGATTAAAAACAACAACAACAAAATCCCACAAATATCTTAGGAAAGAAGACAGAAAATCTAAGCATCCAATTCAGGAATTTTTTTTAAAAAGTTCTAATAGTGTTAGAATATAAGAAAGGAAATATATATATATGAGCAAAAAATTATAAATAAAAAATTAAAGACATGCTTAAAAAAATCAACAAAAATGAAAAGCTTGTTCTTTGAGCTTCTGGGAAGACTGATCAACAGAAAAGAGATACAAGAAAACAATATAAACAAAGCAACAGCTTTAAAAACAAAGAGAATGATGTGGATAACAGAAACTATACACTTCAACAAAACTGGCTAGTGAAGAAACAGAAAACTGATAGAACTTAGTGACAGATAAGAGATGGGGCCTGGAGGAGATGCTGAGGATGACTTTGAAGACTATAACTTGCTAGGTTTATGGATGTGAGCTCCATTTATTCAGAAGGAGGAAACTAGGAGAGAGGCACTGAAGCAGGATGGATATTTTTTTTGGTTAGTTTTATAGTATGTATGTACTGTATACATGTAGGAGGAGTTGGTGCTAGTGGTAGGCGTGGTGTAAGTCATAAATTTAATGGCTATGTTGGATATGTTGAAATAGAGGTTCCTTTCAGATATATAAATGGAGATGTTAAGTATGCAATTAGATCTAGGATCAGGAGCTCAGGAGATCTGGGTTGAAGATACCTATGGGAGTTACCTGTATTTAAATGATAATTAAAGCCACAAGTATGGTTGAAATACCCTAGGCAAATAGAGCACTGGTTCTCAAAATGTGGTCCCTCAACCAGGAACCTAGGCCAATTCTTGGGCCCATCCTGGACCTTCTGAATCAGAAACCCTGAGAATGGGGTCCCACAATGTTATTAACAAGCCCTCTGGTGATTCTGATGCAGGCTAAAATTTGCGAACCACTTATATAGAGTGAGACATCAATAGGGTTTGGGACCTTGCCTTGAGAGTTCCAACATTTAACAGAGCAGAATGAGCCCCCCAAGATGACTAGGAACAGCAGGAAGAGGGAATTAGGAAAATAAGGAGTGTTTCAAAACAAGTGTTTCAAGAGGTAGAGTGGCAAAAACTACTGCAATATCACTTACTGAAAGGATTGGAATGAGCTGAGAAGTGAGCAAGAGTTGAGAAAAGAAAGATGTAAGTACAGATAATTCTGAGCAGTTTGATCATCAACAGGAGAGAGAGGGTGGAGCTGGAAGATGCTGACAAGGAAGCATTTTAAAAAAATTTTTATACAACAGTAATAAGCATGATAAACTGCCAAGGGGAAGAATCTGGATGAGAGGCAGAGTGACCGTACAGGAGAGATGGGGAAGTGACGGCAATAGCATACTTTAGAGCAGCGGTGGCCAACCGGTGGCCTGCGGGTCACTGGTGGTCTGTGAGGTCCAAAAGGTTGGCGACTGCTGCTTTAGAGACAGGGGCTGTGCAGCTGTCTGCCTCGGCAGGAGGAGCACTTTATTGCCAACAGTGTTTAGAACTGCTCTACATGGTGACAATAAAAGGCTGGCCAATTTGTTGTTGGTTTCATTATCACTTTTTAAATTCCTACAGATCCTGTACCCCTTATTCCCACTGCCCTCTCCTTGTTGTCACTGAATAATACCCTGTTTCCCCGAAAGTAAGACAGTGTCTTATATTAATTTTTGCTTCCAAAGATGCACTAGGTCTTATTTTCAGGGGATGTCTTATTTTTCCATGCGCTAGGTCTTATTTTTAGAGGATGTCTTATTTTCAGGGAAACACGGTAGTATAAGGTATCTGAAGAGGGGTAAGGGGATTGGACTTACAGCACAAGTGGAAGAACTATCCTTGGATAAGAGGGACAGATTACCTTTTTTTTTTTTTTAATATATTTTATTGATTTTTTACAGAGAGGAAGAGAGAGAGAGAGAGAGATAGAAACAATCGAAGAGAGAGAAACATTGATCAGCTGCCTCCTGCACTCACCCCATTGGGGATATGCCCGCAACCAAAGTACATGCCCTTGACCAGAATCGAACCCAGGACCCTTCAGTCCGCAGGCTGGCTCTCTATCCACTGAGCCAAACCGGTTTTGGCCAGATTACATTTTTAACCCAGAAGGAAGAAGGTAAACAGGATGAACACAGATGTGGCAAGTGGGGTGGTTGGTAACAGAAAACTGAAGGAATACCATCAATGGGTTCTATTTCCCCCATGAGGTGATCTGTAAGACCCTTCCTGCTGTGAGACCACTATGTCACATTTTCCTGGCCTACAGCAATTCAACATCTGATTTGTCACATCCACACTCACTAAGCAACCTCCCATTTGTGATCTGGCTTTGCACGGGGCAAGAATGTGTTAACCACGCAGACTTGAGTATATCTCAGTGTTTTCTCATAGTAAATTGATCACTGGTTTCCATGTAGCCTGACTACAGATAACAGATCACGGTCCTTTTTATGGTTACGTTTCTTATTGAGTTATTTTCTTAGGATCTGATTGCTTTTACAGCAAGTGAATAAAGTAAATCTCTGGGCTCACTGAGAAATGGGCCAGGCCCACAATTCATCAGCCAATCAGTGTTCCCCTTCTCTCTCATGCGTTCCTTAGCAAAGGCTGGCTTTCATTAGCTGTCACTGACCCAATTTCTAGTTCTTCCCTCTGAATTCATTTTAAAAAGAATATATTTTATCTATTTTTTACAGAGAGAAAGAGAGAGGGACAGAGAATTAGAATTGATGAGAGAGAATCATCTATCAGCTGCCTCTTGCACACCCTCTATTGGGGATGTGCCCGCAACCAAGGTACATGCCCTTGACCGGAATCGAACCTGGGATCTTTCAGTCTGCAGGCTGACGCTCTATCCACTGAGCCAAACCAGTTCGGCTGAATTCATTTCTATATAATCTGTTCATTAAGATATTTTAAACTGGTTGTCACTGCATGACCAGTGGTTTTTGTAGAGAGAAATTTCCAAGAATAATGCAAGAAATAAAACAATGACCTCAGTAAAACATATTGGTATATCACCATTATTCATTTACTTTCTCCATTATTCATTCAACAAATATTTACAGACTATATACCCTGCATAAGGCTCGATATTAGAACTGTAGGGTATACGAAGTTCTCAAAGTATTTGTAATCAAGAAACTAAAAGCAATTAGCTCCATAAAGAATAGGCTTGCAAGAGGGGAATTAGAAAAAAAAATACTTAAAAGTAAAAATAATTAAAGCAGCAATAAGTTATTGAAAGAAATCCCGAAATCTAAGTAACTTTAAAAATATGACGACTCAGAGACAGACAGCCTTGCCTGGAAGCAAAGATTACGGCAACCCCTCTGGAATCGAATACAAAGGTGACTCAGAACTTTGTGATATATAAAGATGTGCCAGGCCCTGGCCCGATAGCTCAGTTAGTTGGACCATCAACCCATATACATAAAAGGATTCGGGCTCCATTCCCAGTCAGGGCACATATCTAGGTTGCAGGTTCTACCCCTGGTTGGGGTGCGTCCAAGAGGCAAGCAACTGATGTCTCTCTATGTCTGTCTTCTCTCTCTCTCTCTCCCTTCCTTCCTCTCTCTCTAAAAATAAAGACAAAAAACAAAAACAAAAAACATCCTCAGGTGAGGATTTTTTAAAATAATAGTAAAGAACATGGCAGTCTCTTTGCAGAAGAAATAAGTCAGACTTTAAGTTAATTTAAAAGTTAATTTAGGGTTCTTACCCCTAAATCCTCAGGTACTCCAGTACTTGAGCTGCCTTGCAATAGTGAATCTCATTCCTTCTTACTTTTGCTCCCCTTGCTCTCTCTCCATCACAGTCTGTGTCCAGGCATAAATAAGATGCAGTTTTTCCATGACCTGGAACTTTCTGCTTTTGAATCATATCAGCTATGCAGATACACTATCACCCAAGCGTTATGTAAATGATTTGATGACCTTGGGTATTTTAAAAGTGCCTAGCACACAGCAGATGCCCAGTTAAGATTCATTTCCTCCTTTCTTTCCTTCCGTTTTTTTCTCCCCTCTGGTGAGGAAGGGAGGGAAAAACAGGAACCAACTAAAGACAGATCTGTAAAACAGCATTTTTTTGGTGTAAAAATACTGAAAAGGTTTAAACCACTTCTCATTGCTTACCTTGTGTCTGTGGGATGTAAGGAGACAGAAGTTTTGACCTTTTCTTTTCATATCCCTTCTGTGTGATGTCCCCTAAAATAGCAAGAAACAGAAATACGTTATGCATTATTCTTACACGGTGCTTTTCACTGTAAAAATAAAATTGATTACTGAGAACTACAGAATTACCACACAGAGAGTAGGAAAATAATGTTAGCTCTTTGCCAGGGATTCTGCTATGTGTGATTTCCCACAGGCTTGGAGCTGACTTCTTGTGGGAAATGGTAGGGCTTGTCCTTACACTAATCTAGCATAGCAATATGCTGCGTACCATGTCAGATGTTCCTGAGCTCCTAGGTACCCCTCGTTTCCTTGGTATTTAATGTAACCAAAATGGAATGCTGCAGTTTTCAGTTTGAACAAATGAATGCAATTGCTTTGGGAGGTATTCAATTATATTGCTATACAGATCCACATAAAATCAAAAGTCTGGTTCAAAGGAGAAGTCATGGTTCAGGCAATGGAATGGGATTGTTGAAAGGCCCTTCTACACCCTAGTACTTGTGTGAGAATCTGGGGCTGGAACTCCCACATCCTCTTCCTTCAGTTCACTTGTTTGTATTACTGACATCATAAATGTATGTCTTTTTCACAAAGTTAAGTTTTTTAAAGTACAGGTGAAGCACACAAAAAGGACATATACCATAAATATAATAATGAGTAGGAGAAAATATGCGGTTGAAGTATCAAGAGATACGCTGAGAACTAAAGAAAAGGTAGCAAAGGGATGGGCAGTGCGCAGGGTGAAAAGGAGTAAGGAATACAGAACAAGAAGGCATTGAAGGGAGGATAAGTAATTCAAAGCTGGGGAAATGAATATATGTGGTGAGGTGACATAATGCTGCATTGTGTTATTTTTTTTTTTTTTTTTTTTTTACTCAGAGAAAACCTTACTTGAAAGTAAATATATATATATTTGTTGATTTCAGAGAAGAAGGGAGAAGGAGAAAGAGAAACATCAATGATGAGAAAGAATCATTCATTGGCTGCCTCCTGCACACCTCCCCACTGGGGATTGAGTGTGACCCAGGCATGTGCCTTTGACCAGAATTGAACCTGGGACCCTTCAGTCCACAGGCCAACACTCTAGCCACTGAGCCAAACCGGCTAGGGCAAAAGTCAAAATTTAGTATAAAAAGTAATTTATATATTCAAATTTACAACATGTACCTATTTTTTCGTTGATTTTAGAGATGGGGGAGAGAGAAACATCAATTTGTTGTTCCACTTACTTATGCATTCGTTGGTTGACTCTCGAATGTGCCCTGATGCGGGGCATGTGAGGATGACACTCTAACCAACTGAGCTCCCCGTCCAAGGCAGCACGTACCCATCAGTCAATTTGTGTGTGTGTGTGTGTGTGTGTGTGTGTGTGTGGCGGGGCGGGGGGGTGTATGTGTGTGCATATTTTGATGGACACAGGTTTGAAATCAAGAGTGATGAATGTCAGCTGCTGTTGGCCTCAGTACCTGAACGGTGGGCAGGTGGCAGGACTCACCGATGGGCTCACTCAGGGGAGTAACACTCAAAGATGGCAAGTGTGGCAAGCTCACTTTCTGAAGAAAATGGCCCCAAGAGAGAGTAGTTGTCCCAAAGCCACTACAGTGACCTGGGCAACTTGGTAGTAGTTTAAATTAAACACAGTGGTAGAGGGATGAAAATTGAGTGACTTACAAGAGACAAAAGGGAGAAAGACTGAATAGGATTTGATGACTGGCTGGATATAGGTGGATAAGACAATTTCTGGCCTGAGCAACCAGGCAGATGGTGATATTCTTTGATAGAGAAATAACAGCAAGAAGTGCCACATTTGCTAAATCAAAGTAAATGAGAGTTGAGTTTAGAAAAAGCCTATGAGACACACAAAAGGAGATGTCCAGTTAACAGATGGATAGATGGATCAAGAACTCAGGAAAGAGACATAGCTTTGGGATCATCAGGATATAGTTAAAAAATAAACTGATAGGCACAATCTGGCAATTTCTATAAAAATTTTGACTCAGCAACTACACTTTTAGGAATTTACACAATGATAATATTCACCCACGTATATAAAAGTCAATCTAAGAATATTCCCTGAGGCACACTGGTCAGGACCACAATGCATTTAAAACAAACAAACACCAAACCTTGTCAAATTAGCAAACTACATCCATGTGTTCATTAAGATATTTTAAATTGGCTGTTACTGCTGTGACCTACTACTTTGAAGGGAGGAATTTCCAAGAATAATGCAGGAAATAAAACAAGAACCTCACTGAACTATGTTGGTACAGCACCATTATTCATTTATTTATTCCATTAGTCATCCAACAAATATTTACAGACTATATACCTTGCCCAAGGCTTGATATTAGAACCACGATGGATACAATCCTCCAACAATATACACAACTAACAAGATACGTGGAAGCCTACCAAAGAAACATTCTTAAAAACAGGAAATCATGTCTTTTATTGCAAAAGAAACAAAGAAGTATTCTTTTATCCTATTCCCCACTCAGAAGCTTCCCTGCCTCGCCCTCTCTCCCTCTCTCCCTCCCTCTCTCACAATTTCCCTCCCTCCTTGAAGGAAACAAAGACCTCTTCTGCTGGCTCTAACACATCTGATAAAGTGAAATGCTTTTAAATGCTTTCTTTAACGCTTCTCTAGAGTCTCAATCATTCACTGTCAATAAATGATATGGGACAAACTGTTAGATGCGGTATCTTGGACATTAATCCAACCATCTCAGGTTTTGAAAAGTGAATCAAGAGTCTATTTGGCCACAGCTAGTTTGGCTCAGTGGATAGAGTGTTGGCCTGCAGACTGAAGTTTGATTCTGGTCAAGGGCATGTACCGTGGTTGCAGACATGTACCTTGGTTGTAGGGGTGTGCAGGAGGCAGCTGATTGATGTTTCTCTTTCATCGATGTTTCTAACTCTCTAACCTTCTCCCTTCCTCTCTGTAATAAATCAATAAAATATATATATTTTTAAAAAGAGTCTAATTTGGCCCTACTAATTAGCATAATTAAATCCATAAATGAGCAAAGACATTAAGGAGACCTGGAAGAAGGTGAGGACTATGATGATGAGCAATATATTAACTGAAAAATGCCCTCCCCTTTTCTTTGAACACAAGGTCCTTTCTTCAGTGCTGCCTGCCACCTCCTGATAGTCACTTCTTCCTGGTGCCCCACAACTCTGACACTTCTAATATACCCTGAGCATAGCACTGGTATTTTATGTATTTTAGCTGTAATGCCAGTTTGTTCCTAGGAGCATGTCCGTGCAGCATCCACTTACCCTACCATTTTTAATCTCCTCCCAGCACTGGTATTTTAGTCATTTATTGACACATCTATGTCCCTACTAGACTGTGCACTTGAGGGCAGGGATGTGTCTTATTTATCTCTGTAGCCTACCCACAGCCTGGCACAATAGATACTTGTTGAATGAGAAACTGAGTGAATTAATAAAATGGAGGCAGTCAGAGAACAATAAATCAAAGAGATATGTACTTGGGTGGAAAACTGGAAATGGAAAAAAGGAGCTGAAAGGCTCAACAAGAGAAATTCAGTGAATGAAAAGTATACTAAAACTTGACAGCTACACCTCAAAAGTGGCCAGAAAGGTGACACTTGGCCTGCCTGAAGAAACAGAACATAAATCATTGGGCACTAAAAGCTGAAGGAACTCCACCTGATATTGATGTTCCTTTAGCCAGAGAACAAGACCAGGCAGAAGGAACTCCGTTATTGCACAAAACTGATTTGTTATTCCACATTTCAGCCACTGCCCATCTATAGTCAGTGCTCTTTTATATACACTAGAGGCCCAGTGCATGAATTTGTGCACCAGTGGGGTCCCTAGGCCTCGCCTGAGGATTGGGTCGAAACCAGCTCTCCGACATCCTCTGAGGGGTCCCAGATTGCAAGAGGGTGCAAGCAAGGCTGAGGGATCCCACTGGCACATGATCAGGGCCAGGGAGTGATGCAGGAGGTTGACCAGCTAAGGAAGGACCACAGGAGGGCTCCTGTGTGTGTCCAGTCTGTCTCGCTCCAGTCCCCGATTAGTGGGACCCCAGCAGCAAGCTAACCTACTGAGTGTCTGCAACCTGGTGGTCAGTGCACATCATAGTGAGCAGTTGAGCAGCCTTAGCATATCATTAGCATATTACACTTTGATTGGTTGAATGGACAATCAGATGACCAGACACTTAGCACATTAGACTTTTATTAGAGAGGACTAATAACCCTGTGCACAAATCTGTGCCTGAGTACCTTGCTGCCATTTGCCTCAGCTGGCCACCCGCCCACCACCGCTGGTAGCTCTCAACAGCTCATAGCTCGCTGCTGCCCCCTCCTGTAGCTCTCCACCACTGTAGGCTGGTCGTGACATTACAGCATAATGGATAATTAGCATATTCCTCTCTTATTATATAGGATTTTACTAGTGTTCCGGTGCACAAATTCGTGCACATTGAAAGGAAATTAATTAGAAGAAATATTTTAATATCGCTATTCATGTCTTGCTAGTGAGAAGAAAATATATATGATTCTACTGAATCTCCTATCTACCTACTCCAGGACTGCTGTGAGGATCAAATGAGATGAGGCACAGGAAAAAGTTTCACAAACATTTGGTTAAATTGTAAAATGTTTGCACCTGGCTATAAAGCAAGTTGGGTTTCTGGGCTGAAGAAACTGCAAGGAGGCTAGTCACTAGGGAAAGGAAGCCAGATATTGGTTGCTATATGACATCATTACCTGGAGCCCACAGCCACCATTTCTGGGCTGGGCTGGACTGTGGACTGCATTTTGCACCATGATGTCTTGGTAGCATTGGCTGTGATTTGGTGGGGTGTCGCTGCAGGATGGTGGTGGGGCCTGTGTCCGAGTATTAGTTTTTCTGCACCAGGTACGTGGTGCCATTTATTTTTAAGTGGCCAGTGTGCATCAATAGCAGCTCCAGTGTTGAGTGTCTGACCCTTGGTGGTCAGTGCACGTCATTGCTACCAGTCAGATGGATGGACACTTAACCATACACAC